GTTGGGCCGGGTCGATTTTAATAAAACTGCCTAGAACCATTACCTTTGTATATCTAGGAAATGCAGAATCCAGAGATGCAAATTTCTTCGAGAATAAGTTTCTCAAAGATCCTGACTTGAGTGTTTCTGGATCTACAAATATGATTTTAGAATCTATTATAGAATCTAAAGCATGCCCTTCTGACACTAATCCCGTACAACTAATTGTTTAATCAGTTTCAATTAGAGTATCTACGAAAGACAGAGTTCCGAAAGACTTTGGCGACGACTTTGTCACTTACTATCTAGAGGATGACCCATTCTCCTATCAGGAAGCAATGAGATATAAGGAATCTCTACTGTGGGTAGAAGCCATAGATGATGAAATGACTCTTTCCTGTAGAATCATACTTAGCAGCTAGTCAATTTGCCAAAAGGGGCTAAGGTTATAGGCTGAAAGTGGATATTGAAAAAGAAACTTAATATAGTGATGGATCACTAGCCATATACAAAGCATGTTTAGTAGCTAAACAACGAAGTGAAATAGACTATTTTGATGTCTACTCACTTGTGTGTCATCCATCAACTATAAGAATCTTTTTTGCTTTGGCATCTATTGAACACTATGTAGTGCACCAAATAGATGTAAAGACATCTTTCCTAAATAGAGTGTTAAATAAGGAAATATACGTGGAACTACTAAAAGGGTTTTTCATGAAAGGCCGCGAGGACAAAGTTTATAAATTGAACAAATTCTTGTATATATGGTCATAAGTAAGTACCTAAGATGTGGCATCTTAAATTTGACAAAGTGGTAAAGAGTTATGTATTTTAGTCTATTTATTTAGATAAATGCACTTACTATTGTTCTATGTCAAATAAGATAGTCATCATTTGTTTGTATGTGGATGACATGTTAATTCTTCACTTCAGTCATTATGTAGTGAGAATTTAGCTAAAAAATTTGAGATGAAAGATCTTGGTATTGCTAATATCATTCTTTGTATGAAAGTAAGCTTTGAAAAACAAGGCATCTTCATTAGCCAGACTCATTATATTGAGAAACTATTTTTTACCTAGGGATATAGTGAGTGCAAATTAAGTTAGACACCATGTAATTATAATAAAAGACTGAGTCTTCGTGAAGGGACCAACATAGATCAATTAAAGTATTCAAAATTGATTAATAGTCTTATGTATAGTGCGAGTTGTAGTAGACCTAACATAGCCTTTACAGTGGACATGTTGAGTCGTTTCACTAGTAATCCTAGTAAAAAGCATTGAGATGCCCTCGATAAGCTAATGAGATACCTCAAAGGTACTAAAAATTATATATACACTTCTCTGGTTATCCTTTAACTTTGAATGGATATTTTGATGCCTCAAGGTGCTCAAAAATCGAAAATACTAAGCCCACTAGTGGATATATATTCACTTTGGGTAGAGCTGCTATTATTTGGGAATCCACAAGACAAATTTGTATTGTATTATCATCTAAGGAATCATAACCTTTTGCTTTGACCTCAACCTGCTAAATAATCTGAGGCATAGTGGATAAAAAATCTGATTATGGATATTCTTTTAACTTAGCTAAAGATTAATTCTTTAAGTTTGTTATATGATAATCAAGTATCTATTGAAGTTGTTAAAAATTCTCTCTTTAATTCAAAGAGAAGACATGTGAGATTGAGACATGCGTTATTGAATTATCTGAGAGAACAAGGAGTTATCACCTTGATCAATGCGAGATCGAAGGATAACTTGACAATGCTATCACAAAATGTATGCCTAAAGATCAATTATTTAAAATAGTGGGGGAAATAAGATTAAACACTATGTAGACAAGTCTCAATTACCATTTACTTATCTTCTAATTGTATGTTTTGAATTGTTGAATTTTCCTTTTGGTGTCCAAAATGATAAGTATACTCTATATGTTTCATTGATGTTCATGGTTGCTAATTAATTTGAAAATGGTAAGTTATCTCATTCCAAACTTGATGAAGATAACTTGAACCTAATTCAAAGGTTCTATATAGGAAACATGTGTCATTCCAAACTTGACGATACAATCCAATTAGGTTGTATCATCCTTTTGGTTAAATGATCTCATTTCAAACTTGATGCTAAATTACTTGACTTTGAAGAATTAGTAATTGTGGCATTCCAAATCGAAACAGAAATAATTGTTTTCTTAAGAAGCCTGTTGGTCTTGTTCTTAATTGAAACTTGATATCACATGATTAGGTTATTGTAAGTGACCTGACTATTGATCTTGTTCTTTGAAACTAGATAATGGTTATTGTCTTATAAATAAATTTAAGTTGATGACTATCTGCAAAACAACTATTTAGGCCTTGTTCAAAATTTATGAAATTGGCTTTTTGCATATGGACATGATATTATGATGCTTTATGACAGTAATATATGTTCTTCTTTGCCTAATGTTAGGATGCTAAGTTCTTTCAGTAGAACCAAATATTTTTAGTAGATTATTCAATTGATTGAATTCATGATAATATGATATTTATATTTGATATTCTACTGGGAATAACATAGATGGAGGAGAGCTTAATAAGTGAGATTTTGACCAAGATGACCTACTTGATGAATGAATATATCATTTAGAGTGTGTGAGGATTTGACAGTTCACTTACTATTGCATATTTTGATGTAGTTCATTTATTTAAGACTTATATTTTGCTATCTTTATTTTATGAATATTGTTGATTGTGAGCTGATTTTAAGACTTACTTTAGATGTTAGGATTTGGATGAGTTTAGATTGAATCTAAAACTTTAAATATTTATTTTGGTATGTTGATCTTTATCAGATTCATGATAATGATGATTTATTTATTTAGATTGCAAATGATGATTGAGGTTAATAGCTTACTGCTAACACTCTTTAAGTGATCAAGGTTGATTGTCTTGAACTGGATATAAATGATTCATATTTAGTTATTTGAACATTACACTAATCACTCTATAGGATTGTGTTGAAGATAGTTGGATATATGCATAATATAGTCTAGTAATATGTCTACATATAAGCCCAGTAGGTGAGCATGATTATTTGGGCTCATATGGATGGAATCCAATAGCTTATATTATCTCTAAGATTTTTCTAAGCTGGAGGTTGTTAGAGTATTCAAGTGTGATGAATTTCTCATTGGTTGGTTATGAGTTAAGTAAAATGGATATAAGTGAGAGGACCCATAAATCCAATGCCTTAAAATTTTGGGTTAAGATGTGGTGTTGGACTCACTTGCTATGGCTGGAGTAGCTTAGCCTATTAGTGGTGGTCCCCGCCATGGGCTTCCCATTGACCCGCCTGAAAATAGTATCAGAGCTAGGTTGAGCTCGAGCTATCCTGGTGATTGGCTAGGAGACAGATTGAGTACTTTGGTCCTGGGGTACTCGGTTGAGGGGGAGCATATCACTGGTAGCTAGGTTTCACACTTGAGGGGGAGATTGTTGGAGTATTCAAGTGTAATAAGTCTTATATTGGTTGGTAATGAGCTAAGTAAAGTGGATATAAGTGAGAGGACTCATAAATCTAATGCCTTAAAGTTTTGGGTTGAGATGTGGTGTTGACTCACTTACTATGGTTGGAATAGCTTAGCCTATTGGTGGTGTTTCCATGGGCTTTCCCTAGATCCACCTGACAGAGGTAATATTCTTAAGCATTCCAAATCTGATAACTTTTAGTATAATACTTCAAGCATCTCTAAACCGTTCTCTTTCAAACCCATAACCTCCAACAATCACTCGTATGAGATGAGCCAATATCTTATGCAAGGATGAAGCATCGTATTATTTGTGGTTTGAAGTTGGAGCACAATCCTTTTATCATATCAATTCAAGGGTGGGCTGAACAACCATCTTAGGAGGAGTTTGAGAATCTTTTTGTCATCACAAAATTCTTTGGCCATGCGCTAATGGTTGCTGTCTTCATAAAAGATGATGGAGGAAATGTTTTGCTTGCAAACAAGAAGAAGAATTTCAAAGGACAACATAGAAGGGTGAATGTTCAAAAAGATTTTCCTAGCAATTTCTCTAATGCTGCCAATGGGCCTTTTAAAGAAGACTTTTTCAAATGTAATGGCTGCAACATGCTTGACAGGGATGTCACCTTGGTAAAATATGTCTATGGTGGCCGCTACTCACTTATTAGCTGCTGTAAGCATTCCTTCTTCAATGCTTTAACTTCTTCTTTAGACAATCTTTATTTTTTATTGGAGTTGAAAACAAGCATCCTAGTTTGGTTGATTGTCAGAACCAAGTTCTTTCCCAGTAAGGCACCTTTATAGGGTTGTCACTGGTTGAAAAGTTAAAAGTTATGTTTACAAGGTTTTTCCTGAGTTATTAATGTTGGTTCTGCTGAAAAATATTTGATGGAACCTACAGCTACGCATAGAATAAGTTATTGATGGAGTCCATTGTATGGGCAGAAGCACTTGACCAATTGAAATACTTGAAAGAAAAAAATAAATTTAAAAAAAGGTCATGTTTGTTTTTTTTTTAGAACAAAAATAAAATAAAAAAAAGGTCATGTTTGTTGATTTCGATATTATGAATCAAAATGTTTCTTTCTTGATTCGATGTGTTGTTGATGACATCCACTCCTTACATATCAAACGATGACAAATTGATGAAAATTCTCTAAGCTAAACCTTAGTGCAATACATATCTCGATGTTATGGCCCCCAAATAACCAAAAAGCTGAAGAGTTAAGTATAAAACATTGCTCAGGAATGCTTTAAAATCACACTGGGACTGGTCAGAAAGGAAATCATCCCGCCACGTTTTTATTTTCCGAATTTTGATAGGCAACAAAAGAAAAGTTTTAAAAAAAAAAGAAGGGTTTTTTTGTCCCTTAAGAGCAAACATGTTGCCCACAATTCTCCCCTTTAATTTCTTTACGCGACTTCCTTCTAAAGCTTTGAAAGCGAGACACATTTAAATCGATCATATCATATTTATTCCATTCCAAACGAAAGACAAAAGAAAACAAGAAAAATGGGTGTATCCCACAAATGGTTGAGACTTGTTCGTAGGAAGTTCCTCAGATCATCCAACAAAGACATAATTCTCCCACGAACAAGTATTTGCACGAATCAAAGTGAAGAAGCCATACTAAGGAATGATGCAACCACCACCGAAGACTTCGATTTGCCGATACCAACCTCTTCGGCTAACATATTCACCGAGGAAGATGTCGCAGCAACTAAGATCCAAGCTTATTTCAGGGGTCATCTTGTATGTTATACCAAACCCTCATCATAATATCTAGCAATCTTCGCTTGCAATAAATTTTTAATTCTCTTATAGTACATATTACACGTACTTATGTTTTAACACAAGAATTGATGTGACATCACAAATTAATAAATTGTTAAGAAAATGAGTAAATATAGTGAGGTGAATAATTAATATGCATACAAGAATTAAATATTTATCTTTTCATTTGTCACCAGTAAAATTGTTTTTTATGATCGAAAGGTTTCGGATTTGAGTCTTGGAAATCATCTCTTTGCAATAAGGTTGTGTTCAATTAACCATCACTACTACCATGGCAAGTCATGAAATTTTATGCATTGAAATTTTCCCTTCATGTATCATGAAAATATTTTATGTCTTTCCTTATAGATATTATATGGGTAGGACACTTCAAAATTTATGAATATATACATAGAAAGAGTTAAGTACAAAAAATTCACGTTTACCTAAAAATCCATTCACCATAATAACTCATGTCTACTTGAGTTGATTATTAAATAGGCAAGACAAGCATTTCGGGCTCTTAAAAGCCTGGTGAAGCTGCAAGCATTGGTTCGTGGGGTGTGCGTAAGGAAACAATCACGTATAGCAATGCAGTGTATGCACGTTCTTGTCCGGTTACAAGTCAGGGTTCGTGCAAGGCAGCTACTTGGCAGGTTTGATAATGATTAATTTACCAAATGTATAGTATTCTATGCTGGTCACAGTTTTTGGTGTCTAACCCATATAAAAAATCATTCTTTGTCTATGGAATTAATGTAGCCCCAAGTTTTTTTTGTCTTGGTCTTGGATTTGGTGAAGTTTTTCTTTTGGTTTTTTTGTTTTTCTTTTACAAGAATGGAACGATTTGAGCATGGATGTTGTATTGATAAGAGTTCGGTAACCTGACTTTGTTCTTTTCCATCATCGACGGGGTTGCACAAAAATTCTCTTCAGTTGACCAAGCTCTTCTCCAAAGTTTAGGAACATCGCAAGTGACCATATATAATAAAAGTAATTAAGTAATAAGTATTGTTTTAAGAAATTGATTAAGAAATTGTGCTAGTTATCAACAAAATAGCAACTATGAAAGTAAGAAATTAAAGAGTTCAAAGGCAAATTAAATTTTACAATAGTGAAAGCAAAGGGTTAGCATAGGTTTAGCTCCTTCACTCACATATTTCATTTAACTCCAAGTAAATTCCTTTTGTAACACTACAAGAAAAAGTGTTTTTCGCGACCGACTTTCCACGACGGTTAGGGGCAAACCGTCGCAGAATACAATATGACGACGGTTGACTCAATCGTAGTTGAATATTATAATTCTAATCAGTAAGATTGTAACGAGATTTGAACACGGTACACATTGTAAGATTTAAATGACAACAACCACCGTGCCATTAAATTCTTTGTGATAGGCTATTATTAATAATATATATTACACACTTTTGTATAAATTCTAATCAGTATAGTTAGGATATGTATGTATCCGCTATTTAAAATTCGAAAATCTATTATATTTTCTGTTATTTATCGTAACATATATGATTATGATATATGAACAAAATTGGATACCTATATAAATGCGCGCACATTATTAATTCTATTCTCAAGCATTAATCCTAATTCAATAATATATATCCATTCGATAAAAAATGAATCAACAAAATCGTCATTTTTTTAGCATCTAATTTCTGATTTTTACTAATCTATATAAATATAATTTTTTTTATATCTATTTGAATTTATTCATAATCAAATTTAAAAATCCTTTTTTTTAAATGATGGTTACATAAGTGCTATACTTGTCCTAATATATGGGCTATCAACTGGAATGATGAAAACTTAATTCATGGAACATTGACTAATGTGCCATGTTTTTGGCATTTATATACCAAACTACCACACAAATAGTAAAATTTACCGCCACGCATTGAAGTTTGCTACGACTGGACTAAGTTTGCTATCAGGATAGAGAACTTGGTGCGCTATGTGGCACAATCTTGTTGCCCGATCAGAATTAATGTCACAATCAAAAAAAGAAAACAGAGGAAAATGGCTATTTAATTAATGTACCAATCATAATTAATGTAACAATCACCAATTAATTTTTTCAATAGTACATTAATTGTGATTAGTGATTGGTACATTAATTGTTTGTGATACCATTCTTATAAATTCAAAAAAAATTGTGAGGGATAAATTATGCCAAATAAGGTGTCATTGCGTAGATTTTGGAAATTTATGTGAAATAAAATAAAAAAATTATCTGTTTTGGATATCCAAATCAAAAGTTATGATCTTCCGAAGTGATTGGTCATTGGTACATTAATTGTGATTGAAACAACCAAAAGTTAATCCCATTGGTACACAAATTGTGATTGGTGATTAGAACATTAATCAAAAAAAATTTCAATACACGTATTAGAAAAGAGCATACATTAATTAGTGGCTCAAATATTTCCCATAATTATCAAATTCTTTGTTCAGCAAAAAAAGACAAAGATATGGATGAGGTTGTGGCTTTTTCACCCTTTTGTCCCTCATTAATTATTTAATAATCATTTTGTCCCTTACTCAGAACTATCTACCAATTTGCCCCTCTTTAATCGACTAAGCCAAAAATTTAATCGGTTAAATGGTCAAAATAGGCAAAAATCGTTGACTTGAAGATTTAGTCGATTAAATCTTCCTATTTAATCGATTAAATCTCCCATACATAAGGTTGTTCTTCTGATAAAGAGGAAGATTTAATCGATTAAGTTGAAGATTTAATTGATTAAATCTTCATTTGACCATTTAATCGATTAAATATTCAATTTAATCGACTAAAGATGGGCAGATTGGTAGATATTTTGCAATAAGGGGCAAAATGGTTATTAAATAATTAATGAGGGGCAAAAGGGTGAAAAAGCCTGAGTTGGTATTGCCAGCTAATGTATCAATCACAATCAATTTTAATCATAATTAATGCACCAATTACAATCAATTTTGATTGGTACATTAATTGTAATTAATACATTAAATTTAACAAAATATTTTCAAAATATATTTTTTAATTAAATATAATATATTTGAATTATATATCTTCTGATGTTTTTTTTTCTTAACTAATAATAATTGGTATTTCATATGTAAATATAAAATACAAATGAATTATTTTCCTTAGAAAAACTTTAAAATTCTTTCTTTTAAAAAATAAAACCTATTCTTTGTTTGAAATAAATACATTAAAAGGGATAAAAGTAATTTTAATAAAGTCATTATAATTAAAATGCACTAAAAAAATCATTTAAATAAATAAAATGAAACACAGTTGATTCTATTTTTCTTTACCCGCTCCCAATTCCCTCCAGACCTTTTCATTTACCCGCTCCCTCCCGTTACTTTTTTTCACCAAACCTTTTCACTTAACCTCCCCCTCTAGTTATCTTTTTCACCAAAACCTCCATCGCTCTGTTTGCCAAAATACAGTGCATAAACATCTCTCTAACGTGTTTGCATCCTGTTCTTTATTTGCCAAAACACTACAGTGCACATCCTTGTTTGTGTTTGGAAAGATAACCGAGCAAGGTTGTGGGGCATGTTTCAAAGTAGTGGCTTGACCTTTGAACAAGGTGTTGAGCATTGCCCAAATGGTATTCCAAGAGAACAGTGGGCTTCTTTTTTGCAATACAAAATGGATGACGAAACAAAGGTAACTTCATATGATAATGATAATAAAAATGAAAATATAAAACTCATTACTAATTTTTCTTTGGCATACTACAGAAAATTGCTGAAAAGAATATTGCAAATAGGGGTAAACAATCAATCCCACATACTTTAGGAACGAAATCAATTGCTAGAAGAAGAAGAGAAATGGTACAATTCTAATTTATTATAATTCATGTGTATTATGTCATCATTCTTTTTGTCTTCATATGATATTTTCTACTTTTCTTGTAATCATTTTTAGGAAATTCAGTTGGGTCACCCTATCACTAGAGCACAAATGTACGCTGAATCACACAAAAAGAAGGATGGTACACTTGTCAATGAAGAGGCTAGACACAAAAATGTAAGTCTAAACACCTTTTTTACTTGGATTATTATTCATGATATGTTAGTATGTAATTGAATGAGCTATGCAAATATTTGTAGGAACAATTATTAGCTGCTCAAAATGATGGAAGGACTGCGGAAGAAGCTTATGTCCATGTTTTCGGGAAAGAGCATCCAGGACGTGTACGGGGAATGGGATTTGGTGTTTGTCCTTCCCAAGTTCTTGGTTCCAGTTCTGTTGGTTCTAGCTCAACAGCCTCACCAAATGAAATTAAGGAGTTGAAATCTAAAATTGAATCACGTTGCAAACTTGGTCCGAAGCTTTGGAGGCCAGATGCTGTCTAATCTTGCACCTAATGAACCTCATCAGGTATTTAATATTTTATAACCCAATGATAGTTATATTAAGTTATATAACTCACTGTCTTATATCTAACTTGTAGTTGTAGTAAAGTCTAATTTGATTGTTTGACTAGTATCTTTGGTATCACAATTTTGTTGCATCACTGCCTAATCTGATTTGGCTGTTGTGACTTCTGTTTTACACATTTGCTAAAACATTTCTATTTGTTAATTGCTGCATAAAATTTTTCCTAATGAATTAAGGTTTAAATACATCCATATTAGTTTTGTTCAATCTTGGTCACATTTTAATTTCTTGGGTCCTGCATGCTACTAATGTGTCATATAGAAATATATGTTCATGTGACAACACA